GTGACGGCAAATAAACCAGTACAGTCGCCGTTCGCAATCTACGCCAGCTGCCGAAAGACTGCTTACAGACAGACTTCCAAATTCACTTTTAAACTTTAGACGGAAAGCAATGTTCCATAAGGGTAGGATCCGGATATGGTGAATTTTCGAAATCCAAAGACGATGTTCAACAAACGCAACACTATATCTGGGAAAGTGCAAATAAGGAGAGATGTTAACAGCAATAATAGGGCACGGGATATCACTGTAGGCGAACTTTCCGACGTCTGTACAATTTTTAACTGTAACGTGACTTGGTGTTTCTGAGCGCTCAATAGACATACGGACCACTTAGAAAAGATCCCAGCACGTTTGAACCTGTGGGTGAACCGACAAACTGGCACAGATCAATGAAAATTCAGATCATATTAAAAAAGCTTGATGTTTACTCAACCTAATGCGACATGAACACGCAGATACCAAATGGATTAGAAAAGAGGTAAATTGGTCGGAGGCTGTCAACTGGTGTCCCAAGTGGGTAGCTAGGTACTATTTGCCCTTAGAAGCAGGCAAGTCCCTTAGGTTGAAGCACAAGGTCGTCACGAGCCAGTAGGCAAAGAGCTCCATGGAGACATAAAAAACAAAAAAACTCACAGAAGCAGGTTTTTCTGGATTGGAACGCTCTTGAGTGCCCTCATCAGCATTTTCTTGGGACTTGTAGGCGAGGAAGAGTGAGTTCGAGTGGTTATCAGCATTTAGAGGCTGGGGATGAGGAAAGTGGTGTTGGCTTGCCCCAGTCGCCTTGCAAATGTAGAGGTACCGTTTGTTGTCACTAAGCGAGGTTAAAAGGGGAGGGAGCGTGAAATTCCTCAAGGAAACTGTATTGGACGTATTATACACTCGCCAAGAACGCCACACATATGCCTTAATACTTAACCATCAGGTACACGGAATGCTAGTAGAGCCAAAAAAATGCGTAAAATGTGTAACTGCGACGTGCGAAAAACCTTGTAGGTCGGGCTTCCGTGTTAGAAAACCCACAGAAGGAGCAATTATCCGTCCTAAATGGTAGGTGGAAACAAAGTATTCCTAGATGGTAAAGTATTTTTTTAGATGGTAAAATGATGGGGAGCTTAGCGGTTGTACTCAAGTTTTGTTAAAAGATAAGCAAAAGCTACAATAGCA